GGCGTGGCCTGGCTGTGAGTGACGGGCGCAAGCCCCGCCCCGCGCAGCACTGAGGGGAAGACGCCATGGAGGCCGCGGGGCCTCCTGCCCCAGCGCTCCAGGCTCTGTCTCAGCCCATCAGTTCAACACAAAGCCGAATAACATGAGGGAGGAAGAGGTAGGCACTTCGAAATGATTAGACAAAAAAGCCACAGCACTAAGCTTATTAAATTTTACATCATAATTTATTCTTTTTTTTTTTTTTAATATATGCATACTGCATCTACAGTTACCTTTCTGGAATGGACAGGTCTTTTGCACAACAGAAGTCACAGTGCTGGTTCAGGAGCACTACAGGGTTGTTTCTGATGTCTCGAGGCAATACTGGTAATTACAGATTAACAGGGAAGGCCAGGGGTGCCTGGCCTTGTCACCAGCCCCCCACGCATCATCACTACCAGCTAAACTGAGCCCTGCGTGGGAGGAAGGAGCAGAGAGGGCGAAAGACAACCAAGAGCCACGACCAGCAGCAGCTCTGTAAGCGCTGGGCACCTCTGAGGAACCCATCCGAACACAGACACTTGGTGCATTTCACATCCCACACGATGGAGCTGCAATAACTCCATTTTTAGCACCAGAGCTGCAAGGCCAGGTCACACATTCGCTTATGTAGCTGACCCTCTAACCTCCTCTAGAAACATCTGCACCAACTCCCAGCACTGAGGACAAAAAAAAAAAAAGAAAAAATAAAACATCCAGCATTTCTAATATCCTGTGTGCTAGTAACTGCCTATAAACACTCAGGTATGCTTGCTCCATCTTGAGCTATCTCAGACCCCTTCCCTCACTCTGGTCGTCAGAAAGAGCAAGTTCAGCTTCTGGAATCCATCCTCTCCAACAGCTGCAGCCCCATCCAACCCCCCTCAGGGACCCAAAGGTGTCTCAAACCTGTAAAACTTGGAGCTACTAAGCAGAGCTGCAGTACTTGGGGAAAAAAAGCCATGCTTTACAGGCCTTCTTTATCTACTGCTTCTGTAGAAAGTAGCTATCTCCAAGTTTTTTTTTTTTAAATAGAAAAAGAATAGTCATTCTAATGTTAAATTGAGTGACCCAAGTGAGAATGCAGGATAAGAAGTAACATTTAAATGTGTCTAACTTAAGTCTTCATTTATTGTAGTGATTACTCAAGAAGCATACACTAAGGTATCAAAAAAGCCGTAACATGCAGACAGGAGACCTTTTCAGGAGATCTAGCAGAAGCAAACGTAGATTTACAGTTAGCTTTAATATAACACTATCTAAAAGCTGATAGCAGATCTTAAATTTGTTTTTTATGCTTTGAAAGAACATGTATGCACAAGAACTGTCCAGGAATTTAAGGCAATTTGCATATTAAGATCAAAAATACTGATTAGATTACAGCTTCATGTTGTGCTCAGAATTGTTAGCTGGCTTGAAACTATTTATATTTACTTCATCTCAAAGGACTGAGAGTCATAAAAAGCAGCTGCTCCTTGATAAAAATACAGTCCTGAGAACGAGCTAGTAGCAATGCTTAGGCGATGACATCTTCCATGTCAGAGTATAAGCTATTTTGGCAGTAAGGAGCATTATCTACCAGGTGCTCCACTAGCAGAGGCATTCTAAACATGCAATAGCTCCCAACACAAGCTGGAGGTTACTTCCAGTATCTTGCTTGCAATGGTTTATCTGCACACTGCAGAAAGAGCAAGAAATCCTGCTAAGTTTGTGTGGTCTTTAGTATTTCCAACACAACTACTAAGGGACACAACATAAGAACAGGCAGCAAAAGATGTTTTATAAAAAAAAAAAAATCCAGAACTTTTTAGTAATTGGTTAGATTTTCTGCAAGGTAATTAGAACACTTTCCTCCCCCAGCCCTGGGAGTTATTTCCCACACGATAGCTATGACCTACCCGAAACAACACTGGAGTGTTTATATTCAGTGCAAGAAGAGTAATTTCAGGACATTTAATTCACTCTAAACAAAGGCAAAAGCTTATCTATATAGACATCCAAACTGCAACATATTTGGTACAGTGTAATGAAGTTACATAGATTTAACCCTCAGAGGTATGCTCTTGTAGTGATCACCTGCATTCCACAAAAAAAGTGTTTGAAACAGTATAGTATTGTAGACTCAACACTTAAAAAAAATTTATTCATCTGGAATTGGAACTCCCTAACATTCACAATATAATTTAGGATGCATTTGTTACATGAATAGAAGATAAAAGACTTGAACAGTTTCACATACCAGTTAAGAGATTCCACATGCTCCTTCCCCATCTACAAATACTGACATCTCATTTTTGTTTCGTTTTTTTCCTTAGATACTCATTTCGACTTGTGTATCTGACCACCCCTCCTGTTTCTACAGGAGCAGACATACAGTGATAGCAGTGAGAGGATACAGGACACTGTCCCATCCAGTGCTTGGACCCTGGAAAGGAGCGGACCTAGCTATAAGGTTTGACAATGAGCTGAACATGAAGCACTTTTCAGCAATTGAGGCAAAGCTGCACTCGGGGTGGGGAGGGAAGTATAGTCACAAAGGAGAGCATCAGTGACTGAACAGAAGGAAAAGAGAAAATAGTCTAAATATCCCTATAACCCTTCAGCTTTTGAGAAGAGTTCAAGGACTAACAAAATCTAATTTCTGTGGGATTAAATGCCACATTAAGATGCCCTACTCCAAATCCTATATCATTTGTTAACACTAAGTCGGCTTTAGCCATGGACAATGCTCATATTCCATAAGACCGGTTAGCCCCTTCCTTCCACCCTTTCCTCTTCCCCTCCCTCGCAGAACAAAGTTGATTATGAAGTTTAGCTACTAGTTTTCCCACATATCCCATCTTTTCTTTTTTTTTTTATCTCTTTGAGGGAAAAGGGAGTGTCAACTACATCAACCATCTTGAGCATAATTATCAAATTAAGGGATATAAAGACACTGGTGCATTTAGGAATTTACATGTCTGTAAAAAAAACTAGTTATAAAACTGCATTTAACATCTAGCATTTTCAAGATTTTCATTGTTATTATTATTTTTTTTACTAATTAATATATTAAATTAAGCCATGGTTTGAGACTGTCAAAGTTCTACTAACCTACTAAAAAACAAACAGACAGAGTATTTAAAACCAAAATGAAAAAGGTTAGTTATGTTACATTCCGAAATCCACAGCCCGTTATATTAAATGCATTCTTTCTACAGGAATGATGTTTTAAAACAGATGATTGCAAAGATTTTACTGCTAGACACTCCATTACATTGGATAGTGTAACTGGAACCTGTGGATGGTGAGATCTTGAGGTCTGTCTGAGTTTCAATGTAAGGTGTCCAAGGTCCTCTCCCAGAACAGAGTTTGGAAAAAAAATTACAGATCAAGTTCTTATGATTTTTTTTTCTTTTTACTTTCTTCTTCTTCAATCTCTTCTTGGCTTTCTGTTTCTGGGTGATCTATTCACAGTCTCCTCCTCCTGCAAAAAAGTCATTTGTGTCAGCATCACGGAGATCTAATCCAAAACAGCTTTTAAAGAGACATTAAGAGGGGAGGCAAAAAATAGTAATAATAAAAAAACCTACAAACCACTTAAATTCTAATGCAGAAATCAAAGTAACTTCTCCAAGGACCTACTGATGTTACTACCCCCCTCCTTTCCAAACACAAACACACAGAGGAATCCTTCACCTGTCTTGGTGGACAAAGTGAAAGGTAGAGGATTCCTGCCCAATATTTGCCAAATGTTTAACAGCTTCCACTGCTGTGAGAATCCCTTTAACGTCAGATTAAGGGACACTCCACCCATTTTTGGGTTAGCCATTATGCCAGCACAGAACTCTTAAAGGTCACATCCTGACTGCACACAAAGCCAAACAAGCTTTTCACCCCTGGAACGTGGTCTGCATCACACAATCCCACTCCTCTCAATACAGGCACTAGGGCAGGGCCCCAGCAGGGCTTCCTGCTATGCTTCAGCTGGACAAGTGATTCCAGTTCCGCAAAGCGATTGAATTCTCTCCATTTCTACAGTGGGGAGGGGGTGTTCCCTGACAGTGGGAACAGTATCACATGGGCCAGGTTAAGACTTCAGTAAGGTTGTGTAAGTTTTATACTGATTTAAGAACAATTCAGAAAATACCCCTTAAAGATTTAATGTTTTTACCTCTGATGCATGTTTCCTGTCTTCCTCCTCCTCCTCTTCTTCCTCCTCCTCCTCTTGACTAGCACTTCCTATATCAGCATCACTTTTCTGCTTCTCTTCTAAAGGAAATAAAAGTCTCACTCATTCTCCTTCCTTAATATTAATGGAATTAAGCTATTGAACAGACAATATCCACCAGTACCACTGGCTTATTATTCTAGATAGGAAATTCAAATTGCTCTAAAGAACATCTTGTTTGCCTACCTAGCTTTTCATCATTTGTTTCTTCCTCTTCCTCCTCCTCTTTGTCCCCTTTGTCTTTTTCTTCCTCTTTTTCTTCATTCATCACATCAGGTTGAGGAGCATCTGTCTTTTTGTATTCTGCAGCACTTGTCTGTTTCTGGAAAAAAAAAAGTCAGTTATTTGTGAAGTTAGGACATGTTAAACTGAGTATCTTTAAGTATTCTGTTTTGTCCTACCAAAGGAAACACATACCTTCCCAGAGCAGCAGAAAAGCACAACAAGGAACACTGGCAAAGCCACAGTGAGGATGTAGACTACCCAAAGCCAGGGACGTTCTTCAGCAGCTGCCATCATCTGGCCCACAACTCCAGGCTGCAAGATAAAACGAACTGTCAAAATTCATCCTACACAGCGCCGTTTCTGCTTAGTTTGTTAGCTGCTACACTGATTTCCAATAGACTTTATGCAACTTTGAACATAACTATTTCATACCTCAAACCTTAAAGCTAACCAACATAAGTATTCCTCCACAGTTTATAAACTAAAAGCTAGAATAATGGTTTAAATTAGCAGCACAGTTGACATGAGCAAAGCCCCATAAAAAAGTAGTAAGCCCTCAGTGTCAACAAGTACCATAGAAACTACATACCATTAAAACTGAGGTTCCAATGGAGTTTACCATAATCTCTAGCCTTACTACATACACACACATGCATGTTTTAGTAGAAACTGTGGGAGAAAAGCAATGCTCCTACTGTTCAAGTCAGCAGCAGACAACTAAGCCTTCGTTTCTCACCTCTGCAGCACCATCAGCTGCCTTTTTCAGTCCCCATCCATCATTGGCCCATTCATCAGCCACAGCTCTCTCAGTACAGATAATAAAATTGTCAAAAAAGATGTCAGAAGTCATCGACCACAGCTCAAGTCCCACAGCACTAAAGGGAGTCATCTTGAAAGGCTCCAAATCTTCAAAGAAATCTGGATTTGGGATCTTCCTGGGTTTCCATATTCCCTAGGAAAGACACAGACATTCCACCATTACCTACTACCATAAAGTCTACGCTTTAGCTTTCATCCCACTTTGAACCAGAGAGACTAATTCACTCTCCATGCTCCAATACAGTGTTTATGGGTGCAAATCTTCATGTCCTGGGAATCAGTCTGGACTACAAAAGCATGAAGCTTAGCAAGAAAGCAGTTTGAACTGCTGCTGTTGGGTTAGACCTGCTGTTGCTGGCTTAGACCCGCTGAAATTAAGTCATATTGCTTTTTAGAAGAAAACTGCTGCAGTGGTCAACAATTTACACAAGCAACAAAACCAACCTGATAGTTCACATTATCAATCATAGGAGGCTTCCATTTGCCTTTGTAGTTTGGATTGTCCATCATAGGTCGCTGCCAGGTACCACAGCCAGGGGCTGACTCACATTTGGGATTTGCAATCTGAGGTGCCTCCCATTCACCATCCATATCCTCATCCCTGAAAACAAAATTTCAGTTTTGAAGTTTGTCCTTTTTATTTATACAGAGTAAGACTTATATCACCTCTGGGAGAATTACATTCCTAGAGTAAAATCAAGATACTGAAACTAAGGATAGCACAGGCCAACAGATATGGACACCACAGGAGAAATAAGGATTTCAGGAAGTGGCTTGGCAACACAAACTCAAAAAAAGCAGTCAGTCACTGAAAAACTTCAAGCACTGCACAACTGCAAAATGACTGCTCTGGTCCCATACAGCTTACAATCTTCAAAAAAAGGAGTTGAAGAATGGACATAGGAGAAAGAAAGACTGCAGGATTACTTAGATCAACTCTGTCTTCTACTTTTGAAGCAAGGAAGCCCAAGTAATAGCTTTGTTAGGGAGCAACAATGGATGAGTTTTTTTAAGAGCTGTGGAACCCTGCGAGCAAGCCACAAAGTATCTGCTGTCATTTACAAAGTGCAGCCAACCTACCAGTCCTCTGGTTTCTCGGCATCAGGATCTGCTACATATTCTGGCTCATCATCCAGCCAACCCTCTGGTTTCACAGCATTTTCATCAGGAATCTTTGCAGGAGCATCTTCATCCCTTTAAGATGGCATATTATACATTAATACATATATTAACATTTTAACCTCACTCTATGATTCTGTGTATTCCGAACAAGCTAACTGCTACCAGGCAGCTTCATTTTAGGTTTTTAAGTGCAACATGATGATCTAAGAATGGAACTGCCTTGCTATCTACATTACACAGATGTTGCCTCATGGCTCAAGTCCATGTTCCACTGAGCACAGATTCAAAGGCAGAAAATCCATATCAGTTTCCAATTTAGGTTGTCAAATAATACACTCTCGTTAACAAGTTATACAATCTATAAGCATCTTATACTATCAAGAAATTATCCTTTGAGTCAAGCCAGGACAAAAATATCAGTTCAAATGTTTCTGAAAGTTTCTTGCGGTAACAGAAGTCGTAAACAGCTTTTCCTACACAACAGGGATACTATCTGCCTTCACCTACCAATACGGTAGTTCACCTGCCTAAACTGCCTGCATTTTGATTACAACAGTGAGGTTCAGGGCCTTCTGCAAGTCATCCAAGAAGAAATTTTGGATAAGAACCGAATTCTGAAGCCAAGGCCTTCCTCAGTTCGACACCTCAAACAACTCACCAATCATCTGGTTTAACAGCATCTGGGTCTGGAATTTTTGGTCTCTCATCCCAGTCCTCAGGCTTCTGGTCATTTGGGTCTTCAATTTCCCGTGGTGGATTCACAGGAGGGGTCATATCATTTAATAAATTCCCACTATTGACAACCGCTTGATCGACCAGTATTTCAAAACTATTATCAGGATTCAAGACTGGAATGAAAAAGTCAGTGTAGCCTTTGCATTAATATATTTAGATACACATACACAGTATTTCATAAGGTACCACTCATCCTCACCATACAGCGTGAATTTCAGCAAGCAATCTAAGCTACCATCTATTCAGAAATTGTTCATAAATGTTGTTAATAAGCCTTTTCCTTAAGTTCAATTGGAAAGAATGATTATATACCACATCTCATCTTGTGAGAGAAAGATCTGCTGCAGGAATCCTACTTTTTGTAAGGATTTTTGTAAGTTTGCTGAAAACAGAGACTTATTAATTACCAGAGCAATTTGACAAGTTTGACACAGTAAGTCTTTCTTTAATATTAAAGAAAGGTATTTACACCCATCTCCTCAAGAATAATTCTCCTGTATGCATTTATAATCTTATTACTATCATGCAAGACTTAAGTCTTTCTTATTCCTTTATCCATTGTTGTCTTTGCAACAAGAATAGCAAGAGATCTTTGAGCACTTCTTGAAAGTTTTCAGTCATACCTAAAAATTGGTCAGCAGACCAGATATTTTGCTTCAAGAACTGATTTTGTAGTTGTAATACAGTAGTACAGCAGCACAGCCTCCTCTCTTACCTGAGTTAAGCTATCCAAACTTAAGTACAGAACTAACCAGCTAAAAATAGAAGCTGCACAAGGCTGACTTTAAAAATTAAACCTCAAAGCCATTGTTTCCAAAGAATGGAAGTCTGCTGGGAGATGAAATCACTATTGCTATTTCTCTCCACGTCTAAAACCTAGTATACCCAAAGTTGTAAGCACACCGTATTCAACTACTTTAGGTATGCTCCTAGTGATTTTGGATATACTCCACATATTAAGATATTCCTGACTGCTAATGTTTAAGGTCTCCTGAGTTTTCTTACATGAGTCAAGATTTCTCATAAGGAAAAAGTATGCCCTTGTATGTAGCAAGGCCAGATTTTGTATCCAAAGTTTAAATGTGTTTAACTGTATGAGATGGTGACTAGCATATTCAGTTACTCATTTGGATAATCTCACTTTTTGATTCCAAAAAGACAGAAGTAGTTTATAAGAAAGCAGAGTTAATAGTCACCGTACCCAGTGTGTAAAGGTGGGTCTTCTTATCAGTAAAGTAGTTCTTCAGGTCTGCATCAGGACGCTTTGCATGCTTCTCCTCATATTTACCAGTCTTTGGGTTCTTGTGCCGAAAGATGAAATGCAATTTGTAGTCCTCTCCACATTTATCAGGTCCAAACATGATTGTGTATGGAGTTTTGTCATGGAATTGATCCTTTCAAACAATATAAAACTTGAGTTGAAGTGAACTCAAAGTACTGGTGTTGAGCTACTGACTACTATAGGAACCGCTAATTTATTAGAAAGTTATGAAACTTGTATTACAAACCAGCAACATACCATACTAAAGCTTGTATCTCAGCTACATGCTTTAAAAATCTAAGGCCAGAACTACACAGCTTCTTGACTTTGCACCTTCAGTCTCCTTTTTTCCAGATGAAAATTAATGGCTGTCCAAGAGTTATCAACGAGATGCACTTAACTTACAGTTATCACTAAAAAATATATTTATCTCTACATTATGGAAGAGATTAAAAGCTATCAGTAAAGAACTATTACAATACTGGTAATGAGTGGCTAACTTGTCCATCAATTTTATTCCACACAAGGAGATAAGCACCATAAGTGAACTGATATGTATTGGGTTTACAGAGTTATATATGAACTAGCCTCAATTTAAGAGTTAACCAGGCAAAATGTTACCTTTGAACAGTGCAAGCAAGTCTATTTGTTCTTGCTAATGTTATTTTGATATTCAATGTACATAAAAGTGGCCAAGACAGCCGCTTGGGCTAGGCTATATAACATATAGGACTATATAGTATCATTTTGTTGAATGTGGCATCTGCATTGGTAATACAACTCCAATGAGATAGCAGAGAGAAAGGAGAAGAATGGTAAGGGACTTAATAGAAAGTCTAGAAATATGGCTAAAGAAAACCCTTGGGCTATACACAAACCTGTAACAAGGCGACTATGCAGTTAACTCTGACTGAACAGGCTAAAACGCTCAGAACAGGTTTGGATTGAGAGGAACGATTGCAAATTACTCTCAGGAACTAAGCATTAACTGTACTTTTAAGTCTTTGCAGAAGGACTGCATTCAAGGGCCACTTAAAAAGCACAGCTTAACATAGGCATCAGCAAGGCTAACCTTTAACAGAACTTTTTTTTTTTTTTTTTTTTTTTTTTAAATCATATTCAATACCTCACAATGACCTCAGAAGCCAAAGTAAAGATAATAAATGCAAGGATACTTTAGTTATTGGGACTAGTTGTTTTGAAAGATAATACATTAAATTGTCCTTCTGGGCAGTGCTTCCTATGCAAGTGTGTCTACCTACAACGGCTACTTCATAAAATACCTTGGTTTTGGTCCTAGAACCTAAAGAAATCAAAAGTGGTGCAGACTTCAGCAAAAAGAGGAGGATGTGTTTCAATACTAAGAAACTCAGGAGACCTCACGCAAGTTCAAAAGATCTTGAATATTGGTCTTCTCCAAATAAAACAGTGGGAAAATACTGAAGGGAAAGTATATTGGAGATCAGGTCCTAAATATGCACCACTTCATGTGTTTCTTTAGGAAGAAGCTGAAAAGATTTTTTTTTTTTTTCATGGCATAATACTTGAAGTAGCAGCATCACTCACCAGGTTCAACTCAGGAGTTTTTGAAAGCAATTTCACATAGGCCCCACCACACTCGATTCCATTTTGGAAGTTTACTTCATACCTAGTTTTGATTTTGGGCAGAAGTGGACAATATGTTACACATAAGAGAAAAAATCACTTTCATAATTCAAGGCAACACTCTTCAAGCATGGATTCAAAGTAACACTGTTCAGTTGCTATTTGCTTCGAGTCACATGTCCAATTAGTTTTATAAACACACAAATTCTACACATTGAACATATTCAGAAGGGTCTAAGAAACAACAGGAACTAAAAACTTAGAAGACTCAATCTGAGAGGAAAGATCAAAGGAATTGAGTGCTGGTCTAGAAGATTATAATTTAGAAAAAAAATATGGTCTAGAGGATTTTAATTTAGAAAAGCACTGCCCAGCATGCAAGAACTGCAATATAGTTTAAGGCAAAGCAAATATTTTCCCTGTAACCGCTAGGGCAGACAAAGACAACTCTATGTGCTGGATGACCAAAACCAGAACAGTCAGACCCTAGGAAAAAGCCCTGCAGGGTTGTAAGCATACAACACAATATTTAGGGATACCCAGGAGTCTGAAAAAGGCAAGATATGTGTGTCAAGAATAGGCTAACTATGCTTGAACCTCTCTCAATGCCAGCAGCTGTGGTGGGTGACCATTTAAGTTTTATTTTTAGCACTGTAGCCAAAACTAAGTGGTCATGCAAAGCAAAATGACCAATTCATCATGTTAGACAAATATGACTAGTTTACTCTTCTTTTTACTTGTAAAGTGGGTCATATCCTACACTTCAGCTCCTCTTACTGATTTTTTTTTCTCTTGCTATTCTAAGATGCATGCAAGTAGATTCTTCTACATCAGTTATGACCCAGCAGATCTAGACAAGCTGTTCTTCTGTAACAAATGATCTAAAACAAACAAAGAAACAACTGCACCTCTACCACTTTGCACATTCCACCTTGGAAAGCAGGGACAGTTTACTAAATGCACCAATTTACAGATGGACTATCTCTTGTCCAGAAGGACAAGGACTTGGACAATTAACAGTGGAAAAAATCTGTTTCACCTTATCATCACAATAAACCAAATTAAGTGAAAACTAGAGACTGGTGACCCAGTCTAGTTTTCAGAGACTACCTTCCTTTTCAGGCTTCACCACACTGCTCTTCCTTCAGGGGAAAGGAGTCATACTGCTCATAACGTGACACTGCTTCCCTCTTTATGAATTTGTGTTGCTACTTTACTGTTACTCAAATGACATAATGGTAGATAATAAGATCTTGTGTCACCCATATTCCCTAGACAACAAAAGTTCAGTTTTTGAATAACAACCCCAGCCTGCTATGTCATCACTGAATAATGAACACTGTAATAACAAACACTGAAAGTTATCTGTTACTTACTGTATAATAAGGGGTTTGGTATCAAATACAAAGGGCTTTGAAAGTTTGGATGAAATCGCATGATGTTTGGCTCGGGTTACCAGTACAAGCCCCTTGTCTCCAGGAAGCCTCGTGTCCTTCATATCTTGAACTTCCCATTTACCTGAGGAGGAGGGAAAATTATCTGCTACCAAAATTTATTCAAGACGGTCTTTAACTTCAAACGAGAAAGTCAGTATTCTGTACTATCCCACAGGGTCTTTCTAAAGTTATTACCATAACATCTTCACTAAAAATGTTTAACACCTTTAAGTGGATTGTTTGGCTAAATTAGGACATTTTGTATTATTAGCCATGTATACAAACATTTCCCTTTTTTTATATAGGAAATATTATCTCATCTTGAAAACTGAAAACAAAGATTTGCACCTCTTTAGAAATGACGAAGACATCAGAAGTAGCTACTGTTTGCACAAAACCTAGCTAGCACTCACCATCATATTTGGCAATCTCATCATCTGTATCATCTTTCTTTGCTTTGGAAAGGATCCACCTAGAAGGAAGACATCCATTGGTCAGAAAGACAGGGATTTTTCCCCTTTTCTCAAAAAAACTGATTTACTTTTCCTTTTTATCTTTCCCCTTGCTTTTTAAAAAAAAAAAAAAAAAAAAAAAAAAGAGAGACAGCCCTTAGAAGAGAGATCCTATGACTAAGTCCTAGAGTCTAGATGCCCTCCAGAGTTTTGTTCCTTGAGCCTGGATAATTCTCTAGAATCACTGTCAGAGCGTCTGGCTCTTGTAAAAGTTCCCACTAAGCAAGTTTCTAGTACCTCTCTATCCTAACTTATTACCTGAAGAACTTGCAGAAAGTATAATTACAAGGATTAAAACAGTATAGTATATAACACTTTCCCCTTATTAGCACCTAAGGATATACTAGTTTAGCCCAGCACTTTAACAGCCTGCATTATGGACCCACTGTTCTAACCCACCAACCATTGCCATTTGATTCAGTTTTGAAGAGCACAGGCTCTAGGTGGTACTAAATTTAGTTATTTGTCATACATTGCATTCTACAGATTATATTTACCCATCCAGAGTTCCTTTATCAAAGGTTTCTGCAAAATAAACTTCGCCCGTTGGGACAGGGACCTTGTAGGTAACCTATTGAAGAAAAAAAGATATTTAATGCACAATTAAAATTATATTCTCCCACTCCAGAAATCAAAAAGCAATAAATGCATGTACAGCTCATTTCTCCACTGTACTGGAGTTTACCTGAAAAACTCCATCAGGATAAATATAAAAATTATGTACATGCTGCTTATGCCAAGCCATTGTGTTCTTGTCTGCAGCTAAAAGTGAAGTGTATATCTCCTGATAAGCACACCACAAATTTCAAGTGTGGATCCAAGTCTTCAGAAAGACAGAGGACAAAAGAGAACAGGAATGATGCACCTAAACTTAATTCCAAATCTTACTCCTAGGCAAGATTTCTTAATTTAAAAGACATTCAATATGAACACCAATATCTCTAATCAGACCCATATTACCTACATCACGACCTAACTTGATTTAAGAGCATGTCCATGGCAAACCTTTGGAGGTGGTGGTGGAGCACTGCTTTCAGACTTTGACTCTTCTATCTCCTCAATGGCATCATCCAAGTCATCCTCAATATCAACCACATCATCAATATCATTGTCATCTTCCATGTCATGTGCCTGGACAGCCAGCATTCCAAGAGCTAGCAGTGTCACACACAGCAGCCATTTCAGCTCCATGATCTGAATACAAGACACAAGAAATAAAACAGGTCAAACTAGTGCTGCACAAAATAAGTTGCTCTGCTTTTTGTATATGAACAAGTCTCCTGTACAACAGGTGAAATGCCTTGTCCCATCGTGAGAAGAAAGGCCCAATCTTATAGTAAGAGAATTAAACATGTCTGACTAGTTGAGATGGCTATAAAAATCCTCTTGGACATGAATACAGCAAAGAGGAAGTATTTACTGCAGAACAGATGTTAATAGACTAGAGGAGCACATGCCTGAGATCTGCGGATCACACTGCACAAGTGTCAGAATTTTGCTGCTTTTACACTGCCAGAGGCCAGGAGCAGGACAGCAGACATGTACACAGTACAACCCCTACACTTGTAAAGAGGCTGAACAGAAAACCTATTTCCTGCTTTTAAAGAACTCAAAGCATGCCAGGAAAGAAGTGACACTTCCATTCAGTCAGGCATTTACTTAGTAAGGTCCTTCAAGCACAGTGAAGCAATCATTCCTCTGTTCTTTCACCTGCAGAACACTGGTGTTTGCATTCACCATTTCTTTTCCCCATGATTTATTTTGGAATTACAGCAAGTGATCAGTACTACTACTAGTAGAATGAGAACAGACAGTAGAATGAGGCTCCCCTCATTCTCTGTATTAAAGGGATGACAAAAAAACTGAAGGCTCAACACAATTAAGGAGTCCCACCTCAACTGGTCTACAGCTTTCAACTGTGACTTGACTTTCTTGCCCAAATTGGAGTTGCAACTGAGGATATGTATGTGCAGAAGTAAACTCAGCTTGAGCCCAAACACGCTTTCCTCTCTCACCTGCCTCAGGCTGTAGCCACGTAGGTTCACAAACAACCCCGAGCCAAGAGGGCCCGTAAGGGTTATGCTAGATTACAGCTATGCTAAGAAAGAGATTTTCTACTTTCTGAAGTTTGCCAAGGCAACTAAAAGCTTAAACTGCAAATTCTTATCAATGCCATCCAATATACCAAAAATCAGCTGCATACCAGGCCTCTTAGATCCTTTAGGTTACTTCTAGTGGCAGAAGGGATGTTTTATAACTACAACAAAACCGCATTTTGAAGATCTATGCTGAGGTCATGCGCAGTTTATCACTCCAGCAACGTGCAATTGCAGCCAGTTTTCTAACAATAGTGACGGCCTCGAGGATTACGGTCTAAATACACGTTCTCAGCGCTCCCGCTGCCCCGGCACGGGCAACTGCACCAAAACAGCTTGGAGCCAGAAGGACACAGCTCACAGCATGAGCAGCTGACAAAAAACTTAAGTGTTGCTACATGAGCAGAGCCTGTTGTTGTTTTAGTGCAATGCACAGCCAGGACGGAAAACAGTTACAGACCTCGCACACTCATTGATCCCATTACGAATGAGAGAACCACCACACAAAAGAATGGAAATTGTGCAGCACTTTCCCATCCTTGGACACACAAGTTCCTTCTGCATGGACACTATGCCCTGAATGAGCTTGCGCCCACAGCACAGAGAGCCCAAAACTCCATTTGGAAGAGCATTCCTTACTCCAAATTCAGTCTATGCACCTGAAGCAAGTAGAGTATAGACCACAAGGGCACGTTTCCAAGAGGAGAGTTTTCTTGTACCTTACATGAGAGCTTCACTTAAAGTATATTTTTAAGCGGCAAAAGGTGGGAGTGAGATTCTAGCCCACATTTCACAACTGCTTTCAAACTTATATCTGTTAGGTAGAACGAGCATCCTCACACCCATGAGCTGCCTACTTTACAATCCCGCCCTAACTAGGACCCTTCAGAAGCATCCATCAGCCCCAAATGGATTTTACTTAGTGCTGGCACTTCCCGAGCACAGAAGTGGCAACAACCGTGGCCTGAGGACAGTTATTTCCCTAGCCTGATACTGCAGTATGTCCGTTTGCTACGGGCCAGCTCACTCCCGGGATTCCTCCAAAGCAGCCCAGTAAACCCAGCCAGTCACAGCAGGGACCCTCGCAGCAAGGGCAGAAGCTACTTCATTCCAGCCGAGCTCCTAGCACAGCCCTCTGCACCTACCCTGCACATCTGCATTTAAGAGCTGTGGTACTATAAGCTTGAGGAACTTTGTTTTAAGCAAAAATAACTACCCGTTCAAGCCCCAAGGCACACTTGAAAAAAGAAAACTAAGAACATGAAGCTAATCCAGTTTCACGTCATTGCTTCTTTATAATCACTGGCAAGCAATTTTCACGAGTTTACATCCCGAAGAAAGCTGTTTAAGACACCTCCTACGCATTAAGCCAGCCCCAAATTCAACAGGAGTTATTTGTACACCTTGAGCATCAACTGGCAGCACCTCCAGCAAATACTGCTTGTCCCACCAAGCTTCTTACTGTGTTAACCCATAACAATTTACACTATGAAAGAAAAAGACAGTATGTTCTCAGAAGAGCAATTTAAGCAAAGCACAAATTTTTGATGTTTAAAAATCAGGTTCAACCCACAACAGATGCACTGCTACGAGAGGAAAATTTCAACTCCAGTTCACACAGTCCTTAGGGACACAATATAAACATGATTATGCTCTAGTAAATTAGGTTATTCCTAAATAGGAGGAGAAGGAAAGGAGACAGAGGGCTGGGGGAGAGATAAGGAGACAATTTAACAGAAGGAGGCAGATAAAACCTTCCCCCCACCCTCCCCATAAGAAAAGCTAAAAACCATGAAGCTCTACCTAAAGTTTAAGTTGCTGTCAACTATAAGTGCTCAGTTAGTCACCTAAAACATAACGCAGCCCCCAGGACACCACCTTCTCTTCAGCTGGGAAACCTCTCCATAGCAGTAGTGTCCAGTTTCTAAGCACTTGTCATCCTTAACCAATTCTGAAACTCGGCCTGCATTTCCATTCCCAGGTTTAACTATAATATTTCTGAAGGTTACCCTGTTTCTGACCAGGCAGCTGCCCAAAGCTTCTCACAATGGAAGCCTTTCATGGTAGGCAGGAGCTTCCCAAGTCTCCATTCCACTTCAGAGAACTCATTTCTACCATGCAACACTGCTACAAGGCACAGACCTCACCTGCCTTTCCCACGTGCCCTTCAGACGTTGGTAGCCACCGGCACACGGCTTGTAGAGAAGGGAAACTACTGTGACATAAACCAAAGTACTAAGCAGGGAAAGGGCTTGAGGTCACCAGGGGTAACAAATCACTTGTTCTTGTCTGGGTGTTCATCCAGTCAGCTCGCACACTATAAACAGGATAATTTACATTTAAGCAGTATTCACTAATTGCTAAGTGATGAAGGCTGAAACATTTTCTCTGGGAACATATGGTAGATCTACCAGTGCACCAGAAATGGACACCTAAATCCACTGCCCTATGTACGATCACTTTCTACAGTGGTAAAAACTAAAAAAGTTGGAATGAGATTCAGGGACAGCATCTACTCCTTGCAGTAAGAGTAGCACTCTCACTTTATAGCATCTTCTTTGGATTCCAAAGCCTTTGCAAAGATCATGCAGCCTCAGAGATTTTTCTTAATTAACTTTTTAGAGGGTATAAAGGCTAAAGATCTTCCTAATTTTTGGTATGACACTGAAAATTCTGTATAGCAAATAACTACCAGGAACCTCTTAAGACATGGCAGGTGGGACAGACAGCGAATGGATCCACCTGTTGGGTCCTTTGTTTTCACACTTCCAAAAGCCACAGCTGAGGAGGCCACTTCCTTGTCAGGTTAAGCAGAGCCTGATAAACCAGTTTAATCATCTCCTTGGTTACTGATCTATTTGAGTCATTCATCAAGCCAGCAAATATTTCAGACACATCTGCATTTTCACTAAATACCTTGTTTAACTTTAAAAAGAACAGCCTGACGAAAGAGATCTTAAGAAGTACTATGAATTATATCATAGCCACATGACTGCAAGAGTATCAATTGCTTCTGTCTTGACAGGACCTCATTTCAGAAGCCTTTAATTGATAAAGTTACAAATGGCAAGTGTATTTGGCTAAAGTATCTGCAGAATAAAATTTGCCAGGAAGTTCTCCACTTCCAAATACCAGATTTCAACATGGTACTTGCAGTGGAAGCGTACTGGAAAAGACGAACACAAACCATCACACAAGGTAAGAACTACAGGAAAAGGATTCAGAGACAGAAATAAAGAAATCCAGTGTGCAAAACAGAGGTAGAGGCAGCTATCCTGCTGCAGGAGGATTTTTTTTTTCTTCTCTTTTCTCCTGTTTCTGGGTAGGGTCTTGGCTACCCCCCTTGATAAATCCCCTGGGTTCTTGAAGTCACTACCTTCTTTGAGGCACCCCATGTTCCCTTCACTGGGGACATCTGCCCCCAGCTGTGCCAGGGTAACCACAGGCACAAGGGGAACCAACACCTGTTTTGAGGCAATTACAAGGCTTTCTATAATGTTATTTCCACTCTCTATCAATTCCCTAGCCAAACCAGCACAAAGATGCAAAGAGATAAGGGCAGGACAAGCGCTGGCACTGTGAGCTAGCAAGAGGCCATGGATAAAGGAAATCATGCGCTCGGCAGCAGCGCCCGCTTAATGTCATCTTCCCTTGTCCAAGGCCCAGCTGCCCTTAGGCGGACTCGGGAGATCTACAGCCAAGCCTAGCAACCAATTTTGTGGCCACCATTTCAGAAACCAGCAAGTTACCGTCCACTCCTCTGGCAGGAGCAGTCTCATCTGCATTATATGAACCGCTACAAATACAAGCAAAATGTTTTTCATTTAAGTGCTTAGCTCCGCAGTTAGAGATTTCCAGGGTTGGCAAGGTCTTGGTTTTAGCGTGGTAGCTCAGCAAGCAGCAGACAAGGCTCAATGAGAACTGCTGGGGGGAGCACTGAACATGAGGACCTTTCCAGGCGGGGGTGGTTAAGACACTGCTACGTAAGAGTTCATTAAAGTCTGAGAGAGGATCAGCTAAACCTTCTCTCACAGAGAAGGAGAGCTGCACGCGAAGAGCTGCCTTCTGTTTGGGTTGTAAGGAGCATAAAGCAGGTAATGAAAGGTGACAGCAACAACGCTCGCTTTAATAAGCATTTCAAATATGCCAGTTGCTAAAAATAACAGGCATCAGCGCAGACATAGTAAAGGAGAAAACACCATGTACTGTTTGTCAGCGAGGAGATCATTCATGCAGAACTGGAAGTCCTTGGAGGGCAGAGACAGAACTGCAAGGTTTTTGGACTGCAAAACAGATGGGCTGTTAGGGAAATTATAGAAGGGGGAGAGCTGGAGATGCCCCAAGATTTTCCAAACTGTTATGCTTAGAAATGAATTCAAGTTTGCTCTGCAACAGAGTTAATTCCAGAGAGAACCAGGTATTGTTACAATCATTACTAGGGACAGAAAAGGAAGTAAAAACTAAATACAAGCTTTAAGGATTTATTATATAGAGGATTTATTTTTACACAGAGGAAGTGCTGGGACACATCATATAAAACAGCACTTTAATGGAAGGGGAAGCTTTCTTAGCATTCTGCATTAGCTTTCTCTCTTAGGGAGGCAGTAGATGCTACGTTACAAGCTGAACACAAGATGTACATTGTTTCCTGGCACGTGCAGCATATATGCATTCCCTACATAACTCATCTTTCTAGATTTTTTTTAATGGAAGTATTGAAAGTTAAGTTTAGCCCAAAGGCTCTAGTTTTGCTCAGTATTTTGGAAAGTCTTTTTAATATGATCAAACCAACAGTAAGCCCTGGAAGGGAGTTTATGAAGTCATGTCAACCGCAGTGTCAGTGTGGAGCATGATATAGCATGGTATCTTATTTATTATGTTTTCTTATACTCCAATATACCTCCCCTGTTACCTGATGATATGTAAAGAGCCCAAACCCCCGTAAGATAAAGCATCCCACAAAACTAGTTAATAAACTACACTTGACATGTTAAATAAAAATTTTTCACCTAGAGTGGGTAGGGAAACTAGAATAATTTTCAGACATCCCAACATATTCCAAATAAAGTCAGCAAAAAGGATTTACTTGATTCTGTGCAGAAACATTTAGGCTGCATTACTAGCAATAGTGAAGTGTGGACCTTACTGTACCTGCTGTTAATTAATACTTAGCTGGTTCCCTACACAACCAAGTCACCTGCAGCCTCTCCCATTCTAGAGCCTAGAAAGTTCTCAACCACAAAACCAAATGTGAAAGTTCATTCTTTAACACCAGGACAGACAAGAAGGCAGAAAACTATCTTCAAGTTAATTCATTTTTTTTTTAAGCACATAGCACAGTTAGGCCCAGAGGAAAGGCGGCAGTTCTCAGTTACACACGCTACACGCCCAGCACAGAAACAATAACCAGGGGCCAAACCAAGGCTACATTTTAATCCTCGAGTCGCTCCGCTGCTGCGGCCTCCTCTCGGCAGCCTCATCTCCCCGGGCCTCCCCCACTTGTTGGGCCTCTAGTTGGGCATCGTCACCCCCCTCCTTCCAGAGGCTTCTGCTTCCGCTCCCTCCGCGCGAGGCTGCCACATGCCGCGGGC